TTGTTGACCTCAGGAGCAGAACACACAAAGAGAGCTGAATAGTTCGATACTTTATTAGCAAGAACAGAGGGCTATATATAGCCTTGAACATGAAGACTTAATCTCCTTACAATTACGTGAAGCAAACTAATATGAAATACTTCTAACAATGCATAAAACTCGGAGAACACATTGACTCCTTATTCATAGGAGTTTATTCAAACTCTGAAACAAACCAAGACTTATTTAAACCCAACAAAATGAAACAAGTTGAGGAACCAAAGCCTTGATCGACCAATCGACCTAAGGATCAATCGATATCTAGAAACCATACTTCAATGTCCTAAATTTAGATGCCAATTGAGTGATTAGCCTGATCGATTAACTGCATGCGAAAAATAAATTCATCTTTATCAGACATTCTCCTAAACCTTTTGAGATATGTTGTAATCGACCTAGACCCTAATAAAAGCACAAGAGTAGCCACATAATTCACCATCATCAAAAAGGACATTATAGATACCCTTTTATTTTGAGGGAGAGTCTCACCGTTCACACTCAAAATTCATAATTTTAGGTTTTTTCTATTTTTATGTATTTTTTAAGAGAGACGATTTTAGTTTTGTTTATGGAGATATAAACTTTATGAACACTCTTTATTTATGCAATATCATTATCTTAATGATGGAATGATATTTTCCATCATTTATTGAGTAATTTTTTCGTTGGGTTTAAGAGTTTTCAATGGGATTTCATGGTTTGATAAAATATGAATTGTTTAGGTTTTAAAAACTTAGAAAAAGTTCTTCATCTATGCTTATGTTCACTGCATGTTATTCGATTGAAAATTTTGTGATTGGTTTATGTTTGTACACTGCTTGGTTGAAAATTTTGTGATTGGTTTATGTTTGTAGCATTAGATGATTTGACGTCATAACTTGCAAGAGTTGGGTTATTGAATTTAGTTAACATATTAAATCTTGATATGAATTATTGCATATTTAACTACTTATTTGCCCCGCAAGAACTGAATAATTTAGGTTGTTGAGACATAGTTACTCGTCACTATAGAAGTATATTTATTATGATACCAGTGATTGGAATTATAATAAGCAAGGCAAGGTGTTGATTATGGTATCACTGATTTGAGTTTCGAACATTCTTTTATAAAACCGAAAAGGCTGAAACCTGAAAGACTTGAATTGAACCAAATGACTAATAATCCTAGGTCGGACCTTTGTAACTTGTAAGCCGTCCCGTCCCGTGGTTGACATCAAATAGATAAGAAAGTTGACACCAAGTACAAAAAGAAAATGACCGATTCAACTGGATGTGACCCTCATTATATGTCCAAAGCATCAAAAGCAGGCTCGTCCCTAACATGACTGGGGCAGATCAACAATCCCTAATATCAATATTAATGTAAGCTACAAGGAAACTTGGGTGTGAGCAAAGAAATTACATGGCTTGATACTTGATTTTACTTGAATAAGTTGAAATTGATTATAATTTTTACATAAGCAGCTCCGATGACTAAGGTTCAGATCTTCCTTTTGAATTTGCATAACCAAAGTGAAACCACCTTAGAGTTACACTCCACTTACCCTAAACATTTGACACCAATCTCTCTCTCTCTCTCGAATATCGATGTACTTGTATCAGTTTTGATCCTTGAGTTTCTCATTTTGTATGTACTTCAAAACTCCATAAGCAGTAGTCCCAGCGACGAATAATCCAACGGATGGAGTGAACACTGGATACACATACTTGACAAACAGCTTATCCAACTCTTCAGGGAGGAAGCCTGCAGAAATGTGAGACTTTTCAATTCAACTGTGTATGCATTATCCACTTGATTATTTCCACTAGCTAGACCTTAGATTAACGAGCTAGATAGATCTTAGATTAACGAGACTTGGTAATTTGTTCCTCTCTAATTATGAATCAGAAGTTTAAACATTGACGACTTAAGCAACAATCTAACAAAAATAAACCCATCAGACTTACAAATCACCATAGCTTCTCTGGGGAAACTGAGAGATTTAGAGTACCTGAAGCAGCTAGAAGAATCCCTTGGATGAGGATGAGGGCACCAAGGGCAAGCCATGTAAGAAGAAACGCATTCTCGTTCCGTCTAAGCTCCTCTGCCTTGGCCGCTCCTTCTTCGCTGCTAACGAACACAGGTTTCTCCACTGGAGAACGACGAATCACCTCCCTCTTCCCTTTCCCTTTCCCTTTCGCCGCTGACCCGAATCCTACCCCGGATGACCTCGGCTTCCCCGGATCCTCTGTTTCGATCTGACATTTGATTGCGAATCTACGGTTCCTGCTGCTCGCCAAGAGATGATGATAAGGTCTCGCGGACAAGGCACACGATGAGTTGATTTGTACCGCCATTTTCACCTCATTCTTTTCTTCTGCGATAGCGTCTCCCGTCATAGAGATGTGTCGAACTCCAAAACGACGTCGCATTACCCTAAATCGGTTTATTTTGGTTTATCCGGATTGTGTAGTGTTGTATAATGAATGATTTAGATTAAAGAAAAGACTCATTAGAGAACAATTTTTTAGATCGTGTTTGGCTATTATATGCCCACCTTAATTCATTCATTTTTTTAGTTTCAGCTCATTTAAAAGGCATGTCGTTGAAGGGATTATGCCTCCACCATGAACACTAATAATCTCTTTGCCTGCAAGATCCTTGAGCAGCTCTGCTGGATCTTTGGCTCCTCCATGTTTGAAGAACTTCTCTCTCAGCAATGTTCCCGTGCTCAACGAAAGCGGATCCTCTTCACATATTGATTGCCATATCGTTGACGCAAAGCACTTGGCGTATAAGTAGCTATAGTATCCTGCACATATACATACCAGAGTCAAGAAACATCTGCTGCTGAGAC